TTTCTGGTGACTAGATATGTTGACTTTCTGATGACTTGATGCTGAGTTTCTGGTGACTAGATATTTGAGCTTCTGGTGACTAGATGCTGAGTTTCTGGTGACTAGATATTCAAGCTTCTGGTGATTTGATGTTGAGCTTCTGGTGACTAGATATTCGAGCTTCTGGTGATTTGATGTTGAGCTTCTGGTGACTAGATGCTGACTTTCTGGTGACTAGATATGTTGACTTTCTGATGACTTGATGCTGAATTTCTGGTGACTAGATATGTTGAGCAGACAGCCTGGGCGCCTGCGCCTCCGTGTGCAAGCTCCCGGGACTTGACTTCCTGTGGTCTGCTCTATTGGCTGAAATACCGGCTGCTTGCAGTGGAAATGACATCTGCACCTGGCAGCAGTGACGGCTGGTGCAAAGATCGGGTGCCGAAACTCAACTCAGATCAGGGGACCCCAAACAATAGTACATAGCCAAGCGAGCTCTCTTGATCTTCCCCCTTGATCGCTTCTTCTTTTTGTTTTCTTTGCTCGATTCTTCGACGTGTGTTTAGACCCCCGATATGTGCGATTGTCTACTCACGGCTCTATTTGGTTCTGCTGGCTTCGAAAATCAAGCTGCTGACCCGCGACGGTGTGCTTTGCCTATGCAGCCCATGATTGCCTGCCAAATAGTCGCGTAAATCAGATATCCAGGGAAGAAATCACGATAAGACTTCTATGTCGTGTGACTGATCAAGCCCATGGCCAGTACGATTCTCACTTTTCCTACTCCTCATTGCATTACTTGAGTTCTTTGCTTATCCCGAATCACATGTTTGAAGTTTCTCATCTGGTTTCAGCGAGCTGAAGCTGTGGGCCAATCAACCCAGGATAGCTTTGTATCAGGTACAAGAATATTTTCCGTATGAATATCTTCTACGGAATGTGAATATTGCCGTCGGCAAAATTGAGCTTCAAGAACGAATATAGCCGCATTGTTCTGGATATGCTTCTCGTTGCTCATCCCGAAAAGCTCTATCTTCACGCAGCATATGTACTGTAGCTTATCCAATGTCCGGATGAAATAGATGCGCCTTGGGCAGGGTCATAAGACAGTGTTTATTCTAAATACGCTTTCATGATATTTTAAGTCTGAATCTTTAAATGAACGCTCAATACTCCCACTCATTGAAATCTCTTTTAACGCATACATCCACCCAGATAGTCAAATGAATACTTGCTTTTTGGGAGATCAATTCTCACATGGTCAATTCTCGCAACTTGAAAAGCCTGTCGATTGAACAATGATGACTGCGAAAGAATTCGCGGGACATAGGTTCTGTTTCACTTTTTGACAGCTAAACTCCTAAAATAGCATAGGAAGCCGCATATACCATACAGAATATGTATCTGATCGGCGAAGGGACTTCCTCGAGCTCGACAGAATATTTCATGTGTGCTCGAAATGATATCTGACAGAACTTATTCCGAGAGTGCATCTAGATATATGCACTTACAAGGACTTTCAGTGTCGAAGACCAGGGACCTGACAATGGCTACGAACTACCAAATTTTTGGATGGAAGTTGTGCAGCAGATTTTGACACTCCCATAGCAACAGTTGACCAATTAGCCTTAAGCTATAATAATGCAAATTTAGGGCTTGCGACCGAAATCATTTAATTCGCTAGGTTTTGTGTCACCAAGAACTTGGAATCTTTCGCAGCACATATAGACGTGGGGTACCATAAATATATTCACTGCGTCTGCTTCATTTTCGGTCGGATGCATTTATGGTACGCCCGGGGCAAAAGCCATATAATCCCCATATCCTACGGCCTCAATGTTTTTTTCAATACTCACACTTCTTTCACATCTACGTTCAATAGTAGCCTAGATCCAGAGAGACCCGATCCTGATTTCGAAATCGTGATCCAGTCTTCAATTTCACTTGAACCATTCATTCGTGTACCAGAGATGCAATTGATTCCCAGAATTCTTTCTCCAAGCAGAGACCTTGGTGATTTCCAAAACATGGCGCCAATTTTTGACAGCTCGGATTCGTCCGCCTCAGAGACAAAATTCAAAAGAAAACGCAGAGGTGGCAAGAGCTGGAGCAGAAAATCAAAGAGAGCCAGAAACATTGAGCTTGTGGCTCCAGGAACACCTTCTGGAGAAGCAGAGACTACCAATGGCGTCGATATCATAAAAAGACGCTCTTCGCACATAATTGCCAGATTAAGAGTAGCATGGGCGCATAACAAGAAATCATTACATGAGGCTTTAAATATCAGGCCGGACTTGGAAAGCGAATCGGGAAACAAGACCAAGCGGGGCCCAGATGAAGTGGACGGCCAGGTTAAAAGACCAATTCTCGCCAGATTGCACCTGTTTATCTCAGAAATAGCCGACCTCTATGCCGACGAAGTCCCGCTGAAGGAAGGAATTGACAGATGCGACCCCTTCAAATACCAATTCGGATTTGGAGCGGAACACTACCTTACTGAAATGCTGAGGGCAAGAAAGATCAATCCAGGTTGCGGTTCTTTGGCAAAATCCAATGGCACTTTGCTCGCTGAAAGTCCTAGATCGGCCACAAACATGGAAACGCTCGAGAAGCCCGGAAAGGACAACTCGATTAAATACAGATGCCGTGGCTTGTTCCCAGTATCGACGGAGTCCGTCGTTTCAGAGAGAACGTCAACAGAAATCTCACAGCCAAAGAATCTTCCCATTTTTGGCTCCCCGGTCAGCGAGGAAGAATCGTTAGCATCGAGTGAAAGTGAAATTGCTTTCAATGCGTACGAGGCTAATTTGAGTGTGGAGAAAAGTGGCCAGCCAAGCACCGTCTCATTTGACTGGGACTTGACAAGAAGTCATGACGAGAGTGAGGTCGAGAAATTGTTAGATCATTTGCAACTGAGTGTTGCTGCCAGTCTTCAGTCGGCTGTCGACCACAGTAATGACAAGAAGCAAAAATCAAGATCGGCTTCCTCCGAGAGCCCTCATTATTTGAATAGCACCAGAACTGAGTCCGAGTGGAGCGTCAGCAACAAAAATGAACATATCTCAGATCTTTTGTCGCTAGACAGTGAACATGGCTATTTCTCAGAAATGTGCTGTGACACTGGTGACCGTGATTCAACCTCGGGTTCAGTGATTATTGAGGATCAGCATACTCCCATGAATTCCGGGCGGGGTATAAATGAGAAGCCCGGACGTTTGACAGAGGTGCAGATCTTGCACAATTGGTTAAAAGCAAGAAAAGATTTCTAGAGTCTGATAGAGCCAGGATGAAATTTTGCCGAATGTGGCTAAAAACCAAATTTCAGCACAAGAATCTGATACTTGATCGGGAGAACAATCTAAATAGTTTGCGTTTACTTCTACATTTAAAATTAGTTTTTTGCTAAAAAATATATGAATTATCAGCGAATATTACTCCGCAGTCTGCATTGCCACTCTATAGTTCAGGAATGAATATTGTTAGGAGATGAGTAATAGCTTGAAAAAAATCTTTGAACTCTAGTTTTGGGTTCATCTCATTATGGAATGGGCATCGGCATTAGAGTCGTCTTTGAAATTGTACCCTCGAAAGATTAGACATCATTAAACAAGATTTAGAACTGCAAGAGCAATATGCTTCAATAATACAGAAATTGAGTTTTCACATTTATGAGAATACAACAGGCAAGCACAAAAAATTAAAAACATCAAAGATGTATACGACAAAGTGTTACTTTTCTGATTATTGAAGTTCAGAGTGCGAGGAAAACTTAGTTTGCGTTACATGACTTCAATAAGGCGAAATTTTATTCCCGATATCACGCTCACGATTGCACAACAAATAAAAACATCTGGTCAATGCAGGGAATGAATATAATTCACTGAAAGCAAGTGTTTAACTGTAATAATCTTCTCTCAATGCAGTCAAAGTGTGTTGTGATTTCATGAAATCTCCCTAAAAAGTCCAAATGACATACCATGAGATCATTCCAAGGGGCGCTTAGTTTACCATTTATTCTCATTTAATGCATTGATTTTGTGGGGCAAGGGACAAAATTTGTCATTGAAAGCTCGCAAATAGAAAGTATCAAACGTACTTTCAAATAAAAGAGGTCTTGATCTTGTCGTCGAACAGCAAGAATCTGAATCACGTTAATATCCTTTAATACGTAGTTGTGGAATCAGCTTATTCATACAAGTATTCTAAGGTCTTTCTCATCTGAGGCATGCACTGTTCAAATGAATTCCCGGAAACCCAAGCAGCGCTGAATTACCGGATAGACGACCTGGTTCTTTTCAAAATGCATAGTACAATAATTGCAAGTACCTTTATCAGCAGAGTAAAAGCTAAATAGGCGATAATATCGGAGGGAAAGCAAAATAAGTTAGTACAAAAAGCAAAAAGATTACAGCACCACAATTTCGCATATGGTCTCCCACTACACTACTCAGTATGGCCCTATGCAGTTTAACTAACGTTGATCGGACGGGAAACAGTGCTTTCTGCATGGTATGGCCGTAACCGACATTTCAACTTGGAAGAATGATAAGAACTCTTAGAGTAACCTCATTTTGTTTTTGTAACTTTATCAAACCTGAGAAATCGCATCATCTAGTACTTCAACTCATTTTTTTCCCTCAATGGTTAAAGCCGTAACTCACCGACGGGGATAACCCTTTAATCAGATGAATCTACCAAAAAAAAAAGACACTTGGAACCTAGCTGGGAGCTGTCTAAAATTTTTTATATATATTTTTTATATAGTTTTGCCCCTTTAATCAGATGAATCAAAGAAAAAAAAAGATCAAATTTTCGGCATTATATGGCTTCTTTCTTAGTAGTGAAGGAGGGCATGAATTGATTGTAGCTTGTCAGGTCGCCTACCTTGAATTTTTGCCACTTTGCCCGCGGCGTCTCCTTGTGATTTCCCCCCAAGTAACGCTAAAGAAAATTTTGCAAAGAACATGGTTGGTGTAAAAGGACCTCACCACCGCCTATTTATTCAATCACGGATTTCAAGCTCCAATGTACTCAAAGGAGATGCTAGCTCCATATATACTTCCTTCGACAATCTAAAAACCTTTACCGGCTTGTTAAAGTTGTTCATAGGGTGCATTTTTTAGGGACTAGGAGGAAAAGACAAATGTAATTTTTGGCCTCGTCAAACGAAATATGGTCACGGAACTTAGAAAAAAATCCTACGGACGATGACATGGAGCTAATTCCTTTCAATGGATGACATTGGTTATGAGCAGAAGCCTTTTTGAGGTAGCTCTTCTTTGAAAATTTTGTGAGTTGGTGCTCGTGCCTTGTCACTTGAGAAGATGCTGCGATCTCCCGTATGCTTTTTCTTGATTGTCTTTTGTTCGTAGTTGGGATACATTCCTCCAGTATATAATAAGATGTTTATAAAAGAAACAATATCCAATGATGTAATTTTGAATTCTGAAACAGGTATGTGCCAAAGATACCATCCAGGCCGTGTCTAACGGAAGCCCGCCAAGTTTCGACACTGGGCATAAATTGAAAAGCTATTTAAAGGCTTCAAGAACTATTTCAGTGTATTGGTGACGTTTTGTTACTTTAATGAGAAGAATCTGCCAAAACAAAGGCCAGTGTATCATCAGGAACGATCTGATCCGTATGGCGCCTCTTAATTTGCTTTGACGATGCACTTCATGATAGGTTTCTTTCTAGCTTTAGCCCTGTGCTATACCTTACTTCAAGTTCTTGGCTACTAATAATAGCGTCTTTAAAGCTAATTACTTTTGTTTCTTGTCCCAATGCAGGGCTTTGCAAAAGACACGGTTCTTGTGAGTGTTTTGCAACCTGTCTGGAGAGAATGGCTATGTTTAGCCCACATTGCTATGAGCAAGTCTGGAAACTGCGACCTGAGATTGCATCTATACTTGGGGGTAGAGTCCGCCGGATGGCTTGATGAGTCGCCCAATAGAATTTGGTCAGGGTAAGTTCCCTATTGACCAGGTCTATGTTTGCCACTATTATGATACCATTGAAGACAGGAGGTACCTAATTACTCATTTGCTCTCTTGTCCGGTATCTGCATAACCAGTCTCGTTCGAGTTGGGAGTAGAATCATGGCATATTATCCGGAGCCAAGCTTTGACTTTTTCAGCGTCTACAACATATCTGTTACAGTATATCACCACGCGACGGGCAGCCACTGGGCAAGGATAAGCAGGACCATGTGATACACGACACCTTAAATAATAATTATGCAGCATATACAATTCTTTTGTCTTGATTTTACGGACAGGCGCTGGCAAGATCTACTTAGCGCAAGAACACCGAATGCCGATGACCAAACCCGATATCCTGGTATGGAGGTAGGTCAGGTTGAGAAAGGCGCTCCGGGCGCCTGCCGGGCACTATGCAGGAACACCCAGCATCCCAGAATTTCCAGAGCAAATTTTCACACAACACCCGGGACCATGGAACGCCGACCAATGCCTTCTCGCTCCCATTTACAAGCTTTCTTCAACAAGCCAGACATCCTGGCCCCACCCCGCGTCCTGCACATAGCGGGCGCCGTGCCGCGGCTTCCCCATATTCCCCGTGATCACGTGCGCCGGTGGAGTGACTCAAGACCCGCACGCTTATCGCCTCGGTACATGATTGTTCCTACTCCAGCGGCTAGATCTTTGAAAGCAGCACTCTACAAACCACAAAAGCAAACGGCCCCCACAACCGGCACTACAAAGAGCAGCCCAGAAGACGCCAGAATATTTGAGGCTTTCTGGACCACAAAACCAGCTCCTCTTCAAAACCAGCCGTCTTCAAAGCACCCCCTCTTCAAAGCAGGCGTCTTTAAAGCAGGCGTTTTTAATCCAGGTGTCTTTAAACCAGGCGTCTATATACCAGGCGTCTATTTACCAGTCGCCTTCGAAACCCGGCGCTCTCAAAACCCGGCGCTCTCAAAACCGGCCGTCTAAAAGCAGCCGTCTTTAAAAGCAGCCGCTCTCAAAAGCAGCCGCCTTTACACCAGCTTCCGGCGTCATTGACCGGCCCCATAGTTAAGCACCCCCTCCCATTTGACGCCCACAAAACCAGATGCCCGCAAACCCCGATTTGCAGCCAGTGTGCTTGCCGCTGTATACACTCGACTCGCCGCTCGTGCTTTTGCCCGGGATCCTCTACAACGTGTCCTTCCCGCGTCTCAAGGCGGCAGCGTTCTTGGCTCGCTACAGGACCCACGCCGCGCGCGTGCCTGTCGTCCAGGCCGTTTTGGCCGAGTACGACTTTGACGCGGCAGCCGCCGGAATCCCGGTCTTGTCCCCTGCCGCGGCCGCCGGCATTGCTGCGTTCCGCGAGGCCGAGGCGTCCGTGCACCTGCTTTCCGGAGAGCCCCGCGACGCGGACCCGGCCGCCGGCTTGGACTGGCTCGTGGTGGCCGTCTTCCCAAATTTGGCGCGGATCTCGAGCGCCGCGCCGGCGCAAACGGCGGCCACCGCCACGGTCTGCCGCGTGGTGGGCATTGCGGACGACGCAAACACCGTGCGGCTCACCTTGCAGGCAATTGTGCGGGCCGTGGACGCCGAGCGCCGCCCGGAAGCGGGTGCGCCGAAACGCCGCGGCGGCAGTGTGGCCAGCACTCCGAACGAGCGAGTCTTCGCCGTGTCCTGGCAGCACGAATCTGCCGCAGTTGCGCAGCACTCGGCGGTGTTCCAGGCGTCCGCCACGGCGCTCTTCGCGCTGCTCAACAAGTTCGTGGAGGCGTACCGGGCGGCCCTTGCGGGCGCGGAGTCCAGCCCCGACATGCTCACGTTGAACCCGTTGGCCAATGCGTTGTTCATGCAGGTGGCCGGCCTGAAGGACTTCGACAAGGCTTATGCCACGTTGCAGCGGATCTGTGGCTCCGCCGCCGCGGACCTGGCCGCCCAGTTGCTGCGCCTCGTTGATTTGACCGGGGCCATCGTGCCGTTCCCGAGCACGGAGAAGTTGCGCATCCTCCAGTGCGCCACCCTCGACGAGAGGACCCGGTTAGCCGCGGAAATTGCGGACAAGATGGCCTCGGTCTTCGAGACCGTGGCCGAGAACTCAGCCCGGGCCACGCGCTGGTACCACGGCGAGGCGTCGAACACGCAGAAAGCGAACCTTGTTGCCAACCAGTTGAAGTCCATACGCGTGGTGTTGGAGGGCTTGTCGAGTAAGAAGACTCCCGGAAGCGCTCTGCAGAAACAGCTCACAAGGCGCAGGAACGGAGCCGGAATCCCGCTTTCCAACGGCTCCAAGGGCCCACCGGGAAGGCGCGGTACGGGCCCTGGCGATGGCGACGACGACGACGATGATGACGACGACGACCTCCATCTCATCGCCGACTTCATCAAGAATCGGCTCCCTCGAATCACGTCGATTTCCAGCGATAGCAAGCGGCTTCTCGTCAAGGACTTCCGGCGCATCAAGAATGCTCAGCCGGGGAACGCCGACTTTCACGTGATCCGGAACTACTTGGAGATTGTGGCTGATATGCCCTGGGACAAGCACGTCGCGCGCTTCCAGTCCAACCAGGAGATCGACATCGCCGACGCTCGCCACCGGTTGGACGCAGACCATCACGGCTTGCAGCATGTCAAGACACGCTTGCTCCAGTACTTGGTGGTACTCAAGCTCTTGGCTGCCAACGCCGCGCAAGAGTACAGAGACTCGGGCATGCAAGAGGCCGAAGAGGCCCACCGGAAGCAACAGCAGATGGATGCTCTCAAGTTCACCCGCGAGTCCACCAATGGCGAGTCGATTATTGTTCCCAGCCAGGCGGAATCCAAAGCCATTCAGGAGGCAAAAGAAGCTGCTGAAACAGAAGAAGCTCAGGGGGAAACCACGCAGAGCTCGACTGAAAACGACCAAAGTGTCAAATCCTTGCTTGTAGCGAAAATCAACCGATCACCAATCATCTTGTTGGCTGGCCCACCAGGTGTGGGGAAAACATCATTGGCAAAGTCCATCGCCACCACGCTCGGGCGTAATTTCCAGCGCATTTCGCTAGGCGGAGTTCGGGACGAATCTGAGATTCGTGGCCACAGAAGAACCTACATTGGCGCAATGGCTGGGTCCATCGTGCAGGCGCTCCGCAAGTCTCGGTCTATGAATCCGGTCATCTTATTAGATGAAATCGACAAGGTGGTCGGCGGTCACAATAGCGGCAACAAAGCAAATGGTGATCCTGCAGCAGCGCTATTGGAAGTCTTGGACCCAGAACAAAACAGTCAGTTCGTTGACCACTTTCTTGGCTTTCCGATCGACTTGTCCCAGGTCATCTTCATCTGCACCGCCAACGAGCCACATGCGTTATCGCGACCACTTCTTGATCGATTGGAGATGATTGAGGTAGGTGCATACGACTACACCGAGAAGCTTGTCATTGGAAGCACATACCTATTGCCCCGTCAAATGAAAAGAAATGGATTACCTGACCAAGACAAGGTGCTTATCAGCGGAAACGTGATGAAGAAGATCATTCTCGAGTACACGCGTGAGGCAGGTGTCAGAAACTTAGAACGCACATTGGGTACCATTTGCCGCTATAAGGCTGTGGAATATTCTGAAAGTTTGGCAGACCCACTGAAGGTATTCCAGCCCGAAGTGGAAGAGTTTGATTTGCCAAGGTATATTGGCTTGCCCTTGCCCAGTCTCAGCAACAGAGTCGTGGAGCTGCCCATCATGTCCAGCCGCTATGGGGTCGTGAACGGATTGTCATATAACACCGACGGATCTGGGTCCGTACTAATTTTCGAAAGCATTGGGTTCGAGGGTAAAGGACAAACCTCTTTGAACATGACAGGCCGTTTGGGAGAAGTCTTGATGGAAAGCGCTAAAATTGGGCTAACTTTCATCAAGAACGCATTGTACAAACGATTGTTGAATTTGGAAGATCAAGAGGTCCTTGTCAAGCACCTTAATTCTCTAGAGATACACATGCATGTTCCTAGCGGAGCCGTGCAAAAAGATGGACCATCAGCTGGAATAACTATGGCTCTTCTGTTTCTCTCTTTGATTTTACAGAAACCCGTGCCGTCGAATATTGCCATGACGGGGGAGATCACGCTAAGAGGATTAGTGTTGCCGATAGGTGGATTGCAAGAGAAGGTTTTAGGCGCTCACCTCACAGGACAAATCGACAAGGTCATTGTCCCTCGTGAGAATAGACGGGATGTCCTCGAGCAGTACGTTCAGAAGATAAATGACCCAAGCCGCTTGAACGGTCTATTGAAGGATGATGCAGCTGCTGCGTTCAAAGATCTGTCCCCGGAGGACTACTTCGCCGAAAAGTACGGGGTGAGAATCGTTTACGCTAGAGAGTTCTGGGATGTGATCAAGCACGTGTGGGGAGAAGAGCTCCTAGCAAATGTCGAGCATTCCAGGTTGGACGAGTATCATTTGTGAATTTCGTGGACCAAGGAATGCTATTGCCCATTGAGGTGCGTTTTGGTGGCCCTGAAGCTACAAGGAGTCGCTCGACATACTATCCAAATACCAAATAGTGGAGCTAGCTACTGAGAAGAGTTCATAGTTAAGTTTCCACATTTGTGCCTCGGGGAACATGAGGTTTTTCTTATGTCACCCGCTTGTTTGTTGTGGCTCGCGGTTCCACGCCTTAGCCTACGAAATCACGGCGACGCGAGTGGAGGCTAGGATGTGGCTTATGCGGATTTGGAGCGAGGTAAGAGGCAAACAAAAGAAACGCGCTTTACTGCACATGCACGTGCATCGCAATAGACGTGCGAGAGGGCTTTGACAGGAAAAGAGTTGGTTTGTTGAGTGCGGATCGGAGGGTTGAAAGAAGTGGGAGGATGTCCTCCATCAGCTTCCCCCAGTCAAACCAAATCAGAAGACGGTGCATCAAGTGAATCACCATTGATGCACATGTGCAGGACCTGTGGAGACAAGTATAAGTGGCTTTTTCTGCTCTTCTGCTGTTATTCGGTTATCAGATCCGCCTCCACGCAGCCTGCACAGCTGCCTGCTATGTGTGCATATGGGTGCATATGGGTGTTTTCCTGCAAATTTTCGTGTGGTCCACTACTTTTGTGCCCCCTTCGCGCGCATGGTATCAGATCCATTGGCTTTTGTCAAACCTCTTCCAGTCTTGACTGAAAGCCTCGCAACACCCTGGCTAGTCTGATTTCAAGGATCTTTCGCTAAAGTCCCTCAAAATTTTCTGTTGGACACTTGAAATCTCGCTTGGGCCTCTCCTCCTGCTAACCGCACTTCTCTAGTCCCGGTGCCAATTTCCGATCTGGGTCAAACTTCAAGACATTCAGAGTGCTCCTCTATACGCTGCCTGGATTAAGAAAGTTCACCTGGATTTCTAGCTTAAGCACAGCGTGTCATAATTCAGTACTCCCAGCTACACTAGTGGCTTTTTTGTCGAGTACATAGGTTCCCGAACAATCAAATCCCTCTCCATCGACGATACCATATACCCCCAAAGTGCCTTAATATGAACGCTGTCTTTTTCCTTTGGCTTGCGCTTCTCATGCCAACCATGGCCAAGCGGTCGCTTTCGGCCACCTCGTTAGTCACATGCATGGACAGCTCGCAGATCTCACCATCATATTTCGATGTGACTTTCAACCCGGACGACCGATCACTCAAGTACTCGCTTGACTTGGTCACCGAAATCTCCGCCAACGTCACTGCGCATGTGCAAATATATGCCTATGGATTTGTGATCATTGACAAGTATATCGACATGTGTGACTTGGACTGGAAACAGTTCTGCCCGATCTACCCTGGAACCATGCAGATCGAGTCCATCGAGTATATCTCTGAGCTGTACGTGCTGCAAATCCCGGGAATTGCATACAGCGTGCCTGATATCGACGCCGTGGTGAAAGTACAGGTATACGATCGTCTGACCGGAGAGCTTTTGTCGTGTCTCCAGAGCTCGTTTTCCAACGGCAAAACAGTATCGCAAACGGCCATCAAATGGGTCACGGCATGTGTGGCCGGACTTGGCTTGTTGATCGCTGCAGTGCTATCCACATTCGGAAACTCAAATGCGGCGTCGCATATTTCCACCAACGCTGTGTCCTTATTCTTGTACTTTCAATCGGTAGTCGTGGTTTGTATGCAAAGCGTGGACCGGGTGCCGCCCATTGCCTCTGCATGGTCCGAGAATCTCGCCTGGTCCATGGGCTTGATACGGGTAGAGTTCATGCAAAAGATCTTCCGCTGGTACGTGCAGAGCACAGGCGGTACCCCCACCTTGTATTTCATCAGCAGCACCCAGCAAATCTTGGTACAGAGGGCTCAGATGTACTTGGATAATTTACACGAATATGCCAGCAACAATTTCTCGATTTCGCCGGGCATCAAGCGGTCATTGGATTACACTTTGAGCTCGAATGCCAACTTGGTGGTGCTCCGAGGAATCGAGAGAATCGGATACAACTCGCACATAGAGCCCACTTCCATTGTCGTCACGGGCTTCACTTTTTTTGTGCTCATGGGCTTTCTTTTGGCTGTGGTCATTGTTTGCGTCAAGCTGGCCGTCGTTCTCTTGATCAGATTCAAGAAAATCAATCCCAATAGATTATCACATTTCAGAAAGTCTTTTGTTATCATTTTAAAGGGCGCCTTGCTAAGATATGTCTACATCGGGTTCACGCAGCTTGTGATTCTCTCCTTGTGGGAATTCACTGTACAAGACTCGCCTGCTGTGATAGTATTAGCATGCCTCACGCTTCTTTTAGCGCTAGGCATCATTGCATATGCGTTGTGGAATACGCATAAGTTTGGATCTCGCTCGGCTCGCGACTACAAGAACCCAGCTGCCATTCTCTACGGGGATCCTGTTGTCTTACACAAGTTTGGTTTCTGCTATACGATGTTCCATGCGCAGAAATATTGGTTTGGCATGGCGTTGGTTTCATATGCCTTGTTGAAGGGCATTTTTATTGGTCTATGCCAATCGTCTGGTAAAGTGTCCTCAATCGTCATTTTCATTATCGACTTGGTGTACATGATTTTCTTGTTCACCCAAAGGCCTTACATGAACAAATCAACCAATATCTTGAACTACTGCATGGCAATAGTCATCACTGTCAACTCCTTCTTGTTCGTATTTTTCTCCGATCTTTTTGGGCAGCCGGCGCAAGTGTCCTCGATTATGGGGTGGGTGTTTTTCATTTTGAACGCAGCTTTTGCTTTGGTATTGTTGATCATGATCATCGTCTTGAGTCTTTTAGCTATACTATCGAAGAATCCCGATGCTCGCTTCGCCCCGGCCAAGGATGATAGAACATCCTTTCAAAGAATGTCTTCTACCAAGCACAGAAGAATCGAGAAAGATATGAGTGTGGAGGCACGCGCCAACAATGAGTTGTTTGCATTGGGTGCTGCGGCAAAGGATCACCTGACTGATTGGGAAGACCAAATATACAAACTTCATGAGATTCAGAAAGGATCCAAGTCAGAGTCCATCAGTGAAATAAATAACTCGACAAGCACGTCTGAAAACGACGATACACCGCAAGGAATCACTAATGAATTTGACGAGAGACAAGCCGCACCGACCCAGGATAAGTCTTTTGGGGAGAAGCTCAAGGAGAAATTGAAGTTCACATCTCCGGCCAAACCTGACGAAGCAAAAGGAGACTACCTGCTTTTGAAGCGCGAAAATAACACGCGTATGAGCGACACAATGACAGCAGGGAGCTCATTGCCAGAGTCTCCCGTCAAGAGGCCACTAAAGCACAGTCGAAACGATTCTACGCAAAGTGCGTTCTCCACGTCAAACTTTCCGTCACCTGAGCCCATGAACACCAAAGCATTTTTGTAATCTTGCTTGCTAGAGGTTGAACCCCCTCTCCCATCTAGGTAATCGTGTTGTTGCCGCCGAATAGTGTGTCCCAGGAGTGCTGTAACCTCACCACATGACGAATAGCGCCTAACTTCCCGATGGAAAAGAAGAATAACGAGAGCCGAACCCGGGGGTCACATTTCTTGAGCCAGCGCACTTTTGCCGCGATCATCTCGGTGATCTTGGTCTTTTTGGACTCAAAGAGCCGTTGCACATACCGTGTGGATTTCATAAGGTTCTCATTGATGCCCGCCAAATCGGCCTCGCTGTATATGTAAGCCTCGTTGATATCCACATCTTCGCTCCACTCAGGCAGCTCAGTCTCAGAAGACAGAAAGCGGGGGTCCCAGATGGACGGCGACCTCAAATACGGAATGTGGTACACGAGGGCCGGCGGGTGCAACTGAACCGAGAGCCAGTGAGCCGAGTAATCATCGGCCACCAAGGGACAAACCGGCGCACCGGAAAACTCTGTCTCGTATGCTGCAGTACCAGGCTGCGACTCGATGAACTTGTCTTTTGCAGCGATGGCCATGGCAAACTTGTGTGCTGGGCTGGAGATGTCACGGTGTGAGCTTTCTTGACGCTCACTTTTCGACGCTCGTTGCAGTAGCTTAGAAGTTTGCTGGTTGTTTTCCAAAGATGCCCCCTGCCTGTGTCTAGGGTACCTGCGTGCTTCTGTAGCCATAGGCAGCCGTTTTTCTATCGCCTGGGCATCCCAGCGCCACTCTTGCTCCTCATCGTGCGTGGAATCTTGTGGGTTGCAAGTGAATAACACGCCCACGTATGTGGCGGGGATGAAGATCACGACATCCAGGCGAGCATACCGCTTTCGACGGGCCAATTTTAAGCAGGGCGCTGGGGCCGGGAACGGCTGGTTTCTCCACCGGCGGGCGGGCCCGGTCAATTTCAGTCCCCTTGTTTTGATCTCGGTCATTCTCAGCGATTCTGTATCCGCCACTCTGGCTTGGGCCTGGTTTCTTACCGTGCTGGTTTCGAACAAGGGGCTATTCAGAATGCTTGCTCCTACAGTCTTTGTCCTCAGAGACCGGCTTCTCGGTATCCTTTCTTGCTGACCCCTAGCTCTCCGAGTACGAGCTCCCGGTGTGCCTGATCTTATAGAGCTGGTTTCGATCCCTCCATTGATATAGCCCTGGGCCGGCTCATGGGCGTGCATCCATCCAAACGATGAAAGCCAGGCCCGAAACGCCAGACCCCGGCCCGGCCGCATATTTGAGCCCCTTCGGTGCTCTGATTCCGACAGGTCTCCAGGGCTCTCCCGGTCATCAGAATTGCGTTGTTCTTTCTTGCCACGGCGTCCCCAGCGATCCAGGAAGTCGAGCTCCGTGTCCGCAGAAGTGAATGGAATGGAAAACTCACTTATCGCCGAGGGCGTGGCTACAGTCCGGGAAAATACGGGAAGGCCCCGGTGGCACTTAGTGAGCACAAGGTACGAGTCGCTCTGCAACGGGCGAAGCCGGATCTTGTGGCGCCGCGTGACTTTATATCCAGAAAAAGGAACCACGGTGTTGGACGAGCAAATCCCCGCCAGCGCTAGCGGCACAAAACAAAACATGAAAATGGCGTGCACAAGGAGTTTCATGGCCCGATGTGCCGTGGCTATTGCTTTCCTGGTGATTTTGCGGCCGGTGCTCGGTTGCAAAATGCGCGGTGCGGGCCGGGTGGCCAGTGACATGACGGGGCACTAGAAAAAGATGGGCTTTTCGCTGCACAGAGTTCAAAGAGCCTTGCCGTTTTGGGTTTGGTGGGTTATGTGATCCGGACGTTTGGCAGATTGTTTCATCCATGAATCTGCAAGTAGAGAGGTGCCCCACGATTGAGGTGTGATCTTCATCATTTTTTCTGCCTTCTAGAGCTGAGATGAGGAAATGAACGCACGGAGCGTCCGATGAGCGATGTTGGAAATTCTGGCGAAGCATATATTGATCCAGCAAAAGAACGAGACTTTTCCCACGGCCCGTTGTTTCCTTTTATTACCTCTCGGGAAGTCATTGGATCATGCGCACATTGACTATATTGGCACCCGGGTGTGAGGAACCTGGCAACCCGTGCTTGGTGTCTCCCACTACCAAGCGCCTCATCTTCAACCAGAAAAAAAAAAACGTATTCTCATACGGCTTCCTGGCTTGGGTGTTCGACGACTTTTAATGGCGACTGCGCCTTCAGAGGAGGCGTGGCTTCAAGTGAGGCTGTGTTGATCGCGACAAACCGCCGAGTTCTCTCAGCCAGTCAATTTTATCAAACCTTATGAATGGTGGCTGGGAAATGGCCCTGAAATATCTCAGAGCATTAGGCAATGTGTAATGTTTTCGAAATATTGTGCCATGATTCTATAACACATTCTCTAAGACCAGTATCGGCATAAATCTATATATACTGTTTCAATGTACATTGACACCCAACCATCAAATCTTTTTAAGCGTGTTCTATTTTGTGTCGTTTTTTGAGATGGATAGAAAGCAGCTACTCCCGGCTCAAACTTCATACTTCCTAGAGTTTCAGATGTCTTCTATACCAGTGTTTAATGTGTTTATTGGTAACTTCAAAGCCAACAAATTTGCACCATAAACCAGCTCCGATGCTGTGAGAAATGCCATACGGCTGCTTCTGCTTTAGCTGATCCATCACTTTTTCTGACAGACATGGTAAATCATCCAGCAAAATCCTCCATTCCTTTCTTTAAGTATGCGATGGTGTTCGACGAGCCGCAGAAACTGAGTGCTGACAGCTGGATCACTAATCTTGGCACCAATTTCGAAGGGTGAAGAAATACTTGATCAGCCCCAAAACGCTGGTGTCACTCTCGATGCTTTTCCAAAAAACATAATTTGCAGAGCTCTAGCATTACTTTGTTTTCTTTATAAGTCCATAAATCAAAACGAAGCTGTTTAAACACTGATCGCGTGAATATGTATTCTTAATTATTAGAAACATCTGTATCAGCTTCTCAAAATCCAACAGTCAAATTTTTTCAGCCAACGCTGGGCCATGATCTTTAAATAGACCCAAAGCATACTTCATTGTGGATCAAGGCATGGCCGAGTAATTTAATACCAAAAGCAGCTCTCAGCATATGTATGCTTCAATTGGGTGCACATTCACCGGATGATGCAACTTTGAAACCCGTAACCCAGACGCCAGAAATCCTTACGAACCAAAACGGCATAACTCGATAAAAGTATTCATGTATTTTAAAAACCCACGCCTGTGGAAACAGGAATAAATTAACGAAATTCTTCACTTTACGTTTTGATAATTGAAAAACCGCTCTCCCATTTTTGAATGTACGACTAATTACAAGTGGGGATAAAAGTTCCAGGGAGTTGAACGACCTATGAGATCTCGATTCCGATCTCTTAGTCACAAAATTATTGCGGCCTTGAATTATTTTCCCCTGTTCATTTAATGCTGCGAACTGCGCCCGCTGCCTGGCTTCCAATTCACAATGGCAGAATTTCGCAGTCATTACTTTGTTAGGCCGCCGACTGCAAAAAGTCAATTTTCCTATATAAACAGGTGTTCGCTCCACCTTTTGCAAACTCTCTTCTATCACTCCTTTCTTCACGACGATACGCTTCATCATGATTGCACAAGTGATTTTTTGCTTCAGACTCATCAATTGCGTTTCGGAAATCGCCGGGCTCTGCCTCACGGGCTATTTTCTTGTCGTGCTCCTTCTTGAACTCTCAGTCCAGGCAGAATCTGCCACCATGGACTTGAACGCTGTTCAAATCAAAGAATACTACTCTGGCCCCTTTGGGGCCGAACCTGAGATTCAGACTCGTAGTAGAAACACTACCTCTGATTTCATCTCTGTTCAAATTGCTGCTGCCTCTGCTGCCCTTCATCCCAGATATTCAAAGGCCACAGAAATAAACTGCTCTACTGCCTTCTCTCCATCAAGCGACGGTAGCATTTTGGAATTTTCCGATGGGGACACTGGTGCTTCTTCCGTTCTTTCTTTCAATTCAGACTCTAAGCTTGGCTCCTCGGCTGGTTCTTCTATGAAGCCAGCTGTAGTTGTAGACTGCACTGAGAATGATGAAATCAAAAGAACGCAAGGAAACTTGTTCCCGGACAACAATTCTATTTTCAATGGGGAACTTGAAATCTCCAAAGTGGAAGCCATCGCTCTGCTGCCTGCCGCTAACCCAGATATTGACATGGAGTCTGGGTGGCAAGTTCAGGGAAGAAAGCGCAGAAATTCTCGCAGAAGGACTGGCACAAAAGTGGATACAGTTTCTGGGACTTCTGGAAAGAAACTCACCAATGAGCCAGAATCTCCTGTCTCCAAATCTCCTCTTTCTGATAACCCTTTTCTGGTTTTGGCCGACATCGATGAGAACGACTATCAGGGACCACGCCCAATCAGATCATATATGAAAGCTCCTGGAAAGCTCGAGCTCTCTTCTCATGAAAACGTGAGTCCTGGCAGCTCTCTGGCTATGGAATTTACTATGGGAAACTACGAGGTGGTTAACCTGAATGTAGTCAGCAATGGTATGAACATGGCTTTTGAATCTATTGATGAGAATGATCTGGGACTTAGCCGAGAATACACTCAGAACTTGGTCCAAGAATTTCCCCAAGACGCGGGAGAGAATATGGGCTCCAAACAAGTCGGAACTACCGTTGGAATGTCTGATATTCTCGTATCTGATATTTCTGATGACGGCTGGAAAACACAAGGCAGAAAGCGCAGGAATTCTCGGAAAAGGCCTGAGCCAAGCCTCATTATGGCGACAACAACGGGATCAATCCTGACTGATCAGAAGGATTCCTTGTGGTCAACCTCATCAATGAGACAGCTCTCCTCTAGTTTTAATCCTTTCCTGGTGTTGGCCGAAATAGGCGAAGAAGATTTTCAAAAAGCCACACCGAAAAGATATTTACGTCTCAAAACCTGAGACAATTGCTGGCCACTGGGTCAATGGACAACGCTGTGCTACCAATTTGATAGCTACATCGCTCGTAGACTGATGAATAACGGTTGAAAAAGACCGCTATTTCTATTTGTTTTGAAAAAAAAAAATCAAAAAATACAAAAAAAAAAAAAATCAAAAATACATCGGTGAGGTCTTCGCCTCTTCGATATTTTCTCCGTCAAAGGATATATAGGAATAAACATAACTCCACATTCAACCTTCACTACCAAGTCTCGATGCTTGATTCTAAGCAATACGGATCTCTTCTCATATTCATAAAAGTTGCAAGTGTTGCTTCATAACATTTTCGTGGTGAATGTTTTTCTTGTAGGGTGTCTTCATAGTCTTTCTGTGTATGAGATTTCGTCTTTAATTTGAGTTACGGGGAAGGGTTATTGGTGAAAAGTGTAGATTCTTTGAGTTCAAGTTTAAGTTCAGAGATCAGTGAAAGAGCATTTAAAAATGCAGAGAAGGCTTTGGCAAATTGTAAGTAATACTTGTCTGATTTCCTTAAGCGACTCTCTCATATTGTGGACTTAAAAGAGAATAACAAGCGTAGCAGAGTTTTCGCCGTCGGTGCCTACACGAGGTCTCGGATGAACGGCATTTTCTCTTGTCGGCCTGCCTCAATATAATTGTTTTAAACGGATACAATAATTCTTGATTCCGAAACACCACTGATCGAACCTAACTTTTTTATGGAATGAAGATCCTCACATTTGTCACTCTTGAACATTGAATTTTGCCCCCTATCTTTGTGATACTTTATCATAAGATCAACGCTTCATTGGGGCGTTTTCAAACTCAATCGGCCCGCAGTCAAATCAATTTGAATATTGTTACTGAATCCAGCTCTTAGATCTGAAAATAACTAAGTACCTTCGAATCAAGTATTTAGTGCAGAGAGCGAGTATATCAAATACAGTCGTTTGTTCAAACATTGCATCTGTACACATTCAGATACTTGATATCAGAACCTTCCCAAAGAAAGAAGACTATTGAAAACCAACAATTTGCATGAACAAACTTTTAATTCAGATTCCCACTTTACTGGATACATTCCACCCAAACGAAGTTTTCTGATAGAAGATCAGAAATTAGCTCACTTGTTGAGGGCTTGGAAGTACTTATACACATACTCTTGAGCCACATGTATTCCTCTAGCTTTGTCTAACAGTAGGAATATATCAGTAGGCACATATCAGTAGGAAACTAAGAACCTTTAAATTTCTCTCAAACATACACCTACCGCAAAAACACAGCCTTTCCTTCTCAATCAAAATCATTCTTTCCATGGAATAAGAAGTAAATTTCATGCCTTCTTTCAAGCACCACCACATATGAAACATGAATTCCCTGTCAAAAATACTAAGCCATCTGTAAATATTCCTTATCTTCGAAAATGCTGGCCATGAAAGCTTGTCTCTTTTTGAATTTGCCATTTGTATACTACGCAGTTATTGCATCCAAAAAAGATTGCAGCACCACAATTTCGCATATGGTCTCCCACTACACTACTCAGTGTGGCCCTATGCAGCTTAACTAACGTTGATCAGACGGGAAACAGTGCTTCCTGCATGGTATGGCCGCAACCAATTTTTGGATTTGAGAAAACACTATAAAGTCTAAAAGTAACCTCGTTTTGTTATTGAAGATTTATTTAACCTGAGAAATTGCATTACCTTATACTTCAAGTCATTTTTGACCTCAAACATTAGGTCCGTGACATCTGATTTTTTTCAGATGAATCTACCAAAAAAAAATGAATTGTTGTAAAGCTGAATTCACAACGTTGACAACTTGTTAGAAGAAGTTGAGAGCATCAGTCAACTCATTAAGAAAGAAGAGATGACGCACGGCATCAAACAAAAGGCGTGGTTTCGAAAGTTGTCGCACTCTATGCTCAAAGCCTACATATTTTTGGATTCTAATAAAAATGGTTATAAGTTACAATATTTCAGAGGACTTGTTCGCAATATTCATCTGTTATAGCGATCAGAAGTTAACCCATCTCTGCAATGAGTGTGAGATTGTGCACTTTTGAGGGCAAAAGATCGACTTTCAAGCTCCAATGCACTTGAGGGAGATGCTAGCTCCTAAAAAACTTACTTTGACAATTTAAGAAACCTTAATTGGTTTGTTAAAGTCGTTCGCAGGGTTTATTTGCTTAGGGACCAGGAGGCAAAGACAAATGTACGTCCTGCCGCCTTATCAAATGAATTATGGTCACGGGCCCTCAGAAAAACATATGCTATGGGACGATAACATTTAGTTAATTTTATTCAAGTGGTTGACCTTGGTTATGGGCAGAAGTCTTGTTGCGGTCACATCCTCTTTGAGAGATTTCGTGAATTGGAGTTCGCGCCTTTCACCTAAGCCAATGTTGCGTTCTATGATATGTTTTTTCTTTATAGTTTTTCGTTAGTGGTGGGGGTTCACACCCCTCCAGTGACACCCTATAATATAGTGTTTCTTTAAAAAAAAATTGTCTTTAGTTCGAATACGTGGTGGACTCAGGTTTCAATAAACAATCTGTGTTTCCTGCATGTTGTTAAACTGGTGGCTGTTACGGACCTCAAAAAGTTTGACTCTTGATCTAATTTAAAAAAGCAGTTTACCTCACCTTAAAGGTAACATCGTGTTTTTCTGACTCAATCGCTGACTCGAAAGCAAATCAGTCTCTGCGTTATATTTTTGTGTTATCACACCGACAGACATAGATGCCGATCCGCGAAGCGACAGCCTGATTTCGCAGCCATACTTTGTTAGGCCGCCGACTGCAAAAATGAATTTTCCCAGATCAGCGACGGTTCGCTTCTTTGTCTCCAAACATTCTTTTACCTCTCCATCCTTCACGAGCATACGCTTCAACATGATTGCACAAGTGATTTTTTGCTTCCAAATCATCCATTGCGTTTCGGAAATCGCCGGGCTCTGCCTCATTGGTCATTTTCTTTTCATGTTCCTTCTGACGCTTCCAGCTCAGCCTGAGTTTATCGCCATGGACTCTACGACACTCTGTGTTAGTCAAACTCACCCAGACCCCAATGAAATTTCTATCTCGAGAGGTGAATCCGAGGTGACCACTGGAAATCCTGACTCTGGTTTTACCTCTGTTGAAAAAACTGTTTCTTCTACTGTTTCTGCTGTTCCTGCTACTTCTGCTGCTTCTGCTACCACTTGCTTAACAATCACAAACACCAACAGTTCATCCGCTAATTCTTCAGCTAGCGACGATAGCTCTTCTGGATTGTCCGATGGCGACACTGATGCTTCTTCTGCAGTTTTTCTTTTCTCAGACAGTAAGCTTGCCTCGGAGAATGTTCCTCCGGATTCAGCCGTAGTTGTGAAGACTGACAAGAATTACCAAGCTCGAATCTATCAAGTCGGACTCAACTCTGTCCACAGTGGGAGATTGATGGACACAGCTATAAACATTGCTCTGCTGCCTGTTGTCATCCCAGATAAATCTGGATGGCAAATACAAGGTAGAAAGCGTAGAGACTCTCGTACAAGGCCCGGAAAGACGACAGATGTGAAAATAACTACTTCTGAGAAACTGTTTGTTCTCGAGTCAAAATACTCTATTCCCAAATCCGTGCTCTCTAATAATCCTTTCCTGGTCTTGGCCGACATCGATGAGGACGACTATCAGACGCCATTCTCGAAAAGACAGTACGGGAAAGTTCCAGTCACTCTTACTCTTGAATGCCTTCCTTTTGACAAAAGCACTCTCCAGTACCTCTTGCTCTTCGGACTTCAAAGTGGGCTCACACAAAGCCCATATGGAAAAAGCAGTTGAGAATAAAGTGTTGGACATTGCTCAAAACGCTGCCCAAGCCTATAATCAAGACTCTGGTTATGTCTCAACGCAGAATGCAGTTCTGAGCTCGAACCAAGTTGAGACTTATGTTGAAGTGCCTGTTACTCTTGCAACCGATGTCTTTGACTCTGGATGGCAAGTCCAAGGTAGAAAACGTAGAAATTGTCGCAAAAGACGGGCAGAAAAAATCACCAGGAGAATATTCACAAATACTGCACTGACTAGTGAAAAATACCCTATGAAGTTGAAAAATTCTTTGGTTCATCCCAGTTCATCATGGAGTCCCTTCCAGGTCTTGTCTGGGATAGGTTATGACGATCTCCAGAAACCTAGATCCAGAAGACAAATGCAAAAGAGATGTGTCGCAGCCACCCTATTAGAAAGTTCTACGGTAGCAGTGGTACCACTTCTCATTTCACCTGCTGGGTCGACTGAAGACTTGATGGTGGGCGCACAGGAAGTTACATCACAGGGCCCAGCAAAAAACGATAGAGCCAAAGATTTGACAAATCTTCCCCAGGAGATCGGCTACAAATAGTCTGCAAAATTGACCACAGATTTTTCTGTTGGCACCACTATCGATGACAAAACTGTTGATAAAGCTAAAGGCCCCAGACAGCGTAAGACCTCTGGACTTTACTCCTCAGCACAGAAAAGAAAGGCCATCAATTACGATGATTTTGACTTGTCTCGTTTGCGGAAGCACTTGAAGTACAAGGAAAGTAAAACTAGCGCCACTCCAATTTTCAGTCCCAGTCCCTTACAGAGATAACTCTAAGGAAAAGGGAACACCCTGGTTTGCGTATCAAATTGATGACGAAAGAAATGAAGATGAAGGTTGGCAAGTGCAAAGAAGACGACGTCTGGGGGGATGGAGCCTATACCTGAGAATATTGTCATCTTGTAAAAGAGAAAAAGAACAAACGGACATGAACAAACCATCAAACATGATTTCAAAACAAGTTGAAAACAATAAAGACAAAACGACGAAAAAGAAAAAAAAAAAAAAAANAAAAAAAATAGAAAAAATACAGTACGTAGCAATAGACACGGTCTTCTAAGCGAAGTATGATTTGTCAGAGTGGAATCCTGAAGACAATGTAGCTTGGACGCCTTCCTTAGTCATTTCTACGACAGCTATGAAACATTCAAATACTGGTGACAAGAGCTAAAATCTGCCATACCCATGGGTAAAGATGAAATTTTGGCTCTGGTGGACAATTGTTTCCAGAACCTAACTGATTTAAACTGGTCCTCCATCAGGATATCACTCGAAGCGGCGAGTCACAAACGTTGAGCTCTTTGAGTCCTGTCCAAGCATTTGAGTTGAGGCAGCCACAGGAATCTTATCCCAAAACGCGATGATGTAGTATAAAAACGGAAACAGATGCGTGCCAAGAGTCTGTCTGGACCGTGATGAACGAAAAGGGATGGGCCGGTTTTCGACGCTAGGTTCATATGCGGAGCTGGTCGAAGGTTTTCATATAATGTTCTATAAATACCTTGAAAATTGTGGTGACGAACCAATATATTTCTGTTAAGTTCTCCAATGAGTTGTCGGCTGGGGCCAACATTGAGTTCAAGCTCATGGGCTTGGAAAACTTTAGCTCTTGCCACCAGTATTGGGATGTTTTGCAGCTGTTGTAGATATGGCTTAGGAATGCGTCGGTGGCGTCTCCGTTGTTGTGAATTTGCTCTGTGCAAAGATGGCATTGAAAATCCGATGTGTCGCTCGGTAGGATCACGATCCAAAAATAGTCAATTGCATTGATGCTTACGTATATATCACGAGATTCTAGTGGCAAGATGGACAATACAACTCATAGCTAGTAGCACGTCCTGATCCCCCACAAGCCTCGATTTTGGGGTTGAAAAGGGTCTGGCGGATTTCCAATCTGCACCACTAGCTTCAGGTCCAACTAGTGAGAAATATTTCAGGCATAGAGAATGACTTCATCGGCTCCTTCTTCTCCGCCATCTCAAATACACCATTCAAGATGAATGACTTGATGAAGAAGGGAAACTTGCCGAGAACGTGAAAGGTGCGTCCATTTTCAGTTTCCAGGATGATAGACTTGATGTAGAAGACAAACCACTCTTGAGTTGCCACACATTAATCGTCAGTACCGTATGGTGGCAGTTGTGATTGTAGAGTCACAACAAAAGCATCCTGAGGAGCTGGAAATATCGGCTAGATATTGCGATCGAGTTTCAGAATGAAAGTGTAAATACGCGGCCTAGAATGAATTTCATAAGCTGGTGTAATGTGATTGTCCGCACTAAGGCAACAAACAGAGTGAAAGTAGGATGTCTTGGCAACTGATAGCACTGGCCTGCATTAAGGTCCTTACTCATTGGACCATCGACAATCCGAGCCCTAGGGTCCTTACTCATTGGACCAACAACAATTACATGCAATTCAATACTTGTGTACTTCACAAGGAATCAGGAAACGTATCCTGGGCTCTTTCGATAAATTCGAACCCATGTGTCTGTCTTGTACTCATGTCTTGTACTCGTGAGACAGTCAGCAGCGTGCAATTCAGCCAAGCTTTGTGTCAGGCCGCCTTTAGAGAAGAGTATATACATCCAGTACCTCTGCGTGACTCCACTGAACGTATGATCAGGGGCAGAATTGACTGTCTGTGGCAGATGTATTGGGGCAAAGGCTCCGTCGACAAAGCAGACATGATTCTTGCTTGCCCTCTGTCCCAGAATCCAACACAACTACTTCTCAGCTCTGAGCTTGCTGCCGAAAAAGAAACAACCGGGACTCGAATCGCTTTTTGGCCACGCTACGGCTGCGAGCTGCTGGGAGACTGTCCCTGCCAGCTGAAAGGAGAATTGACCCAAAGCAAAACAGCATTTCGCACCCATTCGCACCGTGTCGCAGCTCCAAGTCGCAGTGCCCTCAAACACCCAGACACCAATCACCCAGACATAATTGCCCAGACATAATTGCCCAAAAATTGCCCAAAAACAATCACCCGGAAGCAATCACCCAAAAACAATCACCCAAAAACAATCACCCAAAAACAATCACTCAAAAACAATCACTCAAAAACAATCGCCCACCACCCAGAAGCACCGCCCAAAGCAGCACTGCCCACACCCCCAGCCCATGCGCGCCTGCATGCAGCGCGGCGCACCCGTGCCTCCCGGAATCGAAAAACGCGCGATGCGATGCCATCTCCAGCCATCGGCCCGGCCCATAAGCCCAGCAGACGTTTAGATACCCCCCTTCTCTGCGCCCAACCCCCTGGATTTCCCCCGAAAAAAACCCTGCAAGCGCCCCGCAACCTCCCCGGGACCCGCCTGCCACCATGGAAAACCAGCTGAACAAGCCGCACCGCGGCAGCGACGGCAAGCGCACCACGGCCAAAAAAAAGTTGCACCAGCAAGGCCACAATGCCAAAGCGTTCGCCGTGTCGGCGCCCCGCAAACTTGAGCGCATGGCCCGGCGGTCACATGACGTGAACGAGAAGAAGCTCCACGTGCCGATGGTCAACCGCACGCCCGACGACGACCCGCCGCCCGTGATCGTGGCCATCGTGGGCCCGCCCGGAACAGGCAAAACCACGCTCATCAAGTCGTTGGTCAAGCGCTTGACCAAAACCTCGCTCTCCGAGGTCAAGGGCCCCATCACCGTGGTCAGCGGCAAGCGGCGGCGGCTCACGTTCATCGAGGTCAAGAACGACTTGAACTCCATGATCGACGCGGCCAAGATCGCGGACCTCGTGCTCTTGCTTGTGGACGGCAACTTCGGGCTCGAGATGGAGACCATGGAGTTCTTGAACGTGGCGCAGCACCACGGCATGCCGCGCGTGTTGGGCGTGGCCACGCACTTGGACCTCTTCCGCAGCCAGAGCACGTTGCGCACGCTGAAAAAGCGCTTGAAGCACCGCTTCTGGACCGAGGTGTACCAGGGCGCCAAGCTCTTCTACCTCTCGGGCGTGCTCAACGGGCGCTACCCGGACCGCGAGATCTTGAACTTGTGTCGCTTCATGTCGGTGATGAAGTTCCGCCCGTTGAAGTGGCGCAACGAGCACCCCTACCTCTTGGCGGACCGCGTGACCGACTTGACCCACCCCCAGGACATTGCGGCCAACGCCAAGTGCGACCGCCGCGTGGCCTTCTACGGCTACTTGCACGGCACGCCGCTTGCCGCCGCAGACGCCCACGTGCACATTGCCGGCGTGGGCGACTACCACGTGCACTCGGTCGAGAAGTTGCCGGACCCGTGCCCCACCCCGTATTTCGAGCAGAAAATGGACGAGCTCGAGCGCGAGGCCGCCAAGGCCGCGGCGGACGCGGGCGAGGACATCGTGGCGCCGCGCCGCCGCCGCCGCAAGCGGCTCGACGACAAGCAGAAGACCATCTATGCGCCCATGTCCGACGTGGGCGGCGTGCTAGTGGACCGCGACGCCGTGTACATCGATGTCGGCGACAAGCAGTCGTTTGTGCCCGGCGAGGCCCGCGGCGAGGGCGAGCGGCTCGTCACGGACTTGCAGGACGTGCAGAAGACCATGCACGAGCGCTTTGCCGAGGGCCCGGGCTTGCAGTTGTTTTCGGGGTCCTCGCAGATTGCGCGGGGGCCTGCGGACTCGGACCCCGCGGCGCTCCGTGGCTTGCTTGACGAGTCTGCCGAGTCTGCCGAGCATGGCGACACGGGCCGCCGCGCGCCGAGACGCCCGCGTCTCTACGGCACGGCGTTGGCGGACGACACGGAGTTTGACGCCATGCCGGACGACGCCGGCGAGTCGGAAGGCGAAGGCGAAGGCGAAGATCAAGACGAAGATCAAGACAAAGATCAAGACAAAGACGACGCCGAGGAAGCCGACACAGTGTACGCCGGCGAGCTCCGCCGCCGCAGGTCCGCCGGCTCGGAACTCGCCGACGCGGCCCGTGACCACTTGGAGTACGTGGAGGACTCGGCCTTGTCGTCCGACGACGACAACAACTACGCGGCCATGGCGTCCAAGCTCCGCGGGTCCGTGCAGCGCCGCTGGAACATCAACAAGTTGATGTACTTGGACAACGTGGCGCCGGCCGAGGTGGTGCGGCGCTGGAAGAGCCAGTTCGTGGAGGCCGACGACGACATCGGCGCCGACGACGACATCGAGGCCGACGATGACGCGGACTTCTTCAAGAAAGCGTCGGCGCCCGGGCCCACGGCCGACTTGGACGCGTTCGTGCCCTCGTACCCATCGGTGGAGGAGCTCCGAGCCAGGTTCGACGCGTCGCGCATGGATGACGCCGCGGACAGCGACGCCGAGTACGAAAACGGCTATGTGGCGTTGAAGGAGCGGTTGCTTGTGGCACCCAAGCTCCTGGACGCCGGCGAGGCCGACGGCGCGGACGATGACGAGGCGCACGGCGACTTCGAGGACTTGGAGGCCGATGGCGACGGTCCCGATTCGGACTCGGGCCAGTCGGACGGCGGCGATTCCGGCGACGATTTTGGCGACGATTCAGGAGACGAGTCCGGAGACGAGTCCGGCGACGACTTCGCCGACTTCGGCGCCGAGGACCCCGCCGACGCGTCCTTGTCCGTGGACCAGAAGCGCGAGCTCAACGCGGCCAAGAAGGCCAAGCTCAAAATGCAGTTCGAGGACGAAGAGGACCGCGAGTTCGGCGCCGACGACCCCGAGGGCGACACCGAGGCCGACACGTGGTACGAGTTCCAGAAAAACAAGATGGCCAAGCAGTTGGAGATCAACAAGGCGCAGTACGACGAGATGGACCCCGCCACGCGGGCCAAGATCGAGGGCTTCCGCGCCGGGCTGTACGTCAAGCTCGTGTTCGACAAGTTGCCCTGCGAGCTCATCGACAACTTGCAGCCCGAGTTCCCCATCGTGTTGGGCGGGCTCTTGGCCACGGAGTCGCGCTTCGGCATCATGAACGTGCGCATCCGCAGGCACCGGTGGCACAAGAAGATCCTCAAGTCGCAGGACCCGTTGATCCTCTCGCTCGGCTGGCGCCGGTTCCAGACCATCCCCATCTACACCACGTCGGACTCGCGCACGCGTAACCGGATGTTGAAGTACACGCCCGAACACGCGTACTGCTTCGCGTCGTTTTACGGCCCGCTCGTGGCGCCCAACACCACGTTCGTGGGCTTCAACATCATCGACCAGGCGCAGACCACGGGCTCGTTCCGCGTGGCCGCCACGGGCATTGTCGAGGACTTGAACCTGTCGGTGGAGATTGTCAAGAAGTTGAAGTTGGTGGGCCACCCGCACAAGATCTTCCGCAACACCGCGTTCATCAAGGGCATGTTCAACAACGCGTTGGAGGTGGCCAAGTTCGAGGGCGCGTCCATCCGCACGGTGTCGGGCATCCGGGGCGAGATCAAGCGCGCGTTGTCCAAGCCGGACGGCTACTTCCGCGCCACCTTCGAGGACAAGATCCTCATGTCCGACACCGTGTTCTTGAAGACCTGGTACCCGGTCAAGGTCAAGGAGTTCTACAACCCGGTCACGTCCATGCTTCTCCGCGACCACCAGCAGTGGCAGGGCATGCGGTTGACAGGCCAGGTGCGCGCGGCCAACAGCATCGAGACGCCGCTTCTCCACGACAGCGCGTACCAAAAGATCGAGCGGGCCGAGCGTAAGTTCAACCCGTTGCGTGTGCCCAAGCTGATCCAAAAAGACTTGCCGTTCAAGTCCCAGGTGTCCACGATGAAGCCGCAGAACAAGCAGTCGTACATAGCCAAGCGCGCGGTGCTTGTGGACGGCGACGAGAAGAAAATGCGCGACTTGGTCAACAAGGTCAACACGCTCAAGAAGACCAAGGACAAGAAGCGCAAGGACAAGAAGCAGGAGAAGTTCCAGGACCGTTTGAAGGCGCTCGCCAAGAAGGAGGAGGCCAAGAAGGACAAGGAGAAGGAGCGCAAAAAGAGTATTTCGCCAAGGAGGGCAAGAAGAGACGCTTGGACCAGAGCGACGGCGGCAGCAACGCGTTTGGTAAGAAGCGCAGGTGAGGTCTGACGAGCTGAGGTTTTGCACCCGCGCGGGTGCTGCAGACCGTGCAGGCCGCGCCGTGCGTGCAGGCAAGGCGACGTGTGTGCCCCGTGTGCAGGGCAAGCCGCGTCAGTGTGCAGGCCCGTCGCCGCTGGCTGCGTGGGCCGGCGGCTCAGCAGGGCCCGGCACACCCTCGGAGCTTCACAGCATGTCCGGGTTTCGGGCCCGGGCTTCTGCATAATTCTATAGGCGCAAATATGACGTGTAAAAATAGTTTGGTGGCTTTGGATATTGCACACCGGTCCCTGGCTGGTGGGGAGGGCCATTTGATGTAGAGCCATGGCAACGTGCGAGGTGCGTGCAGGACGTGCATCGTTCATGGCCTCGTCGCAGAGCACCATCTGAATCAGTACTATAAATATGAACGACTGCAGAATAAAACCAATCATGAGCAATACGGTCAGATATACTCTCGCGAGTGGTGCCATTTGGAGATGATTCTTGAAAAGAATGCCATAAACTATTCTATGTTGAATAGTAATATCAACAAGATATCAGGATATCAGTATCCAAATTTATCATGTTAATAGGAATCAAAATCTATCATTATAATAGTGTCCAAAAGCTTTGATACTGAATAAAGCCAACAAGACTTTTTTATGCACACTACGAAAAGCACGATTTGATATGAACATTTCTATCAGCAATGTATATTACCATCTGTGGCATCATATTCATAGTCTCTTTGCGACAAAGAACGGCACTGGTCCTTTGAAAACACGGGTATTCTTTAAATAATATAGCTGCCTCTTCAGATAATTGTGGTCTTGCAAAGGTACATTTATAAATGAACAAAATGTTACAGGGCTTTACTATCCCATTCAATATCCTGCCATCATTGAATCATACTGAAATGTCGGGTTGAGGCTTCACCACAGTAATTATTCTTTATTTTGTAGAAATTTTGAGCTGCGTCCATTGGAAGCCCTAGGAAGGACAATATGAACTATAAACTTAAATATCATTATTTGACCTTTAAAAATTTACTTGCATCTCTGTTGCATTGATCTCATTGAACAATTGAGAATATCAAATCAGCTCGCACCAGCGATTACTGACGTCGTGCTAAAGTGCCAGAGCAGCCTCCATGCATCTTTTATTCTTTCTCGTCCACAAATCGAAGCTATCAAGTGATTTTTCGGGCTCCAGGGATCTCTTTACGGCATTTGCTTCGTCGTCTTGGGCGTGGTAACATTTCATCAGTTTCTTGAAATTTCTCAAGAGTCAATGGCCAAAGCCATCAATACGTTTAAACAGGGGCTTTTCAGCTACACCTTTGACATGAATACTAGATCATGTCTTGGAAAACTTTGCGGTGTTCTTATGTTTGGAACTTTACTTGCAAAGACGGCGGCTGAAAGTTGGTGTCTCCCGTATTAACGCCCACAGGCACACGATCTAACGATAATATGACGAAAGACATTTCACAATTTCAGCAGGTTTACTCCTTCAAAAGAGTTTCAGTATTTCTCTTTACAAACCTCTCGACAGATTAGATCAAAGTGGTATGACATGTCTACAGTTTGCCTTGCTTTCCTCCTGTGGTTCAAGAGCTTGGGAAATCATTATTGTTTGATCGGCTTCCCAAATTCCGACAGGCACTAGATTTGGCTTGGGTTAGACCTTTTTGTGTAATGCTTTTTGCAAATCTGGTTGACTCCAGCGAAGGAACCATAACAGACTTCGTTTTCTACCATTTCTTCTTTGGAGAAGCCCTATCAAGATGCACGAGGATTCTTTGGCTCTTTCAAGCTAAACTTTCCTCTTTGATGTAGTTATGTATCTTCGTCTCATTGTCGATTCTCTTCAATTTTCATGCGGCGAGGCATTCTGGTTTCAAGGTGTTGAGTGGCCACTACGTTTTTCGATACTAGAAAATAAGACCTTTGGTCTTTGAGCTGGCTACTACTGCTGGAGGCCAATACCCCGTTTCCCTTATAAGTTCATATACTAGAATTTCAAAAGAGATTCTTGGTTTTAAGATCTTGTTTTTTCTGTCTTTGGAGGACATTCGTTGGAATAGATTGTCATTGTGTTTGGGCTAACGAATATTTCTCTAGCCTCATATCATCCAATCAAGGCTTTGACACGTCAACTGACGAGTCACGTCAGAGTATCAGAGTGAAATACTTAGCTGCCTTGTCATTGCTTGCAATATAGAATTTTGTGCTACGTGGGTCTGAGACCTATCTGGTCTCCTCAATATCATTAGTGAAGCTTCCAGTTTCTGGTGTCGTAAATAATTTTGGGGCTTTTTCCGTTCTCTTCAACTTTTTCAAGTGGTTCTAGTGTGATCAAGGAACTTTCAAGGAATATTCCATTGACATCAACTTTTCTTCCACTTGATTGGTCTTGGAGTTTCTACCTTGTCTCGAACACGGGCTTTTGTTCATCCTGCTGATTGTGGTATCTTCGGTGGGCGCCGAGTAGGTTGAATTGCAGAAATTCTTGATTAAACAACACGGTCCTGATCAGAAGGCCGCTTAGTTAGAATGTGTCATCAGAAGCCTGTGCCCGCACATCGAAGTCGACAGTGATGTTCAGAGATGAAATCCGCATCTCAAATCGTGCGAAGAATTGCCGGGAATAAAGAAGCAAATGTGTCGGAACATCGTGACAGTTCATATTTTATTGCATTGGCAGGACTCTAGTACTGTCACCTTTGACAAAATCTTCCGCTGCGTTATTATAAACATTTTCTGAGCAAGCCCCATATTTGGAGGTGCCAGACCATTCTATGTATAAATGGAAGCAGGAATTGGGCCAGGTTAGTATTGGGTTATTTGCATCAGAGAATTTTATTGGGTCATTTGCATCAAAGCATTTTGACCACCAATATTAAATGAAAGATCCACGACGTCAGAAAAATATCTGCTTCTGTCTGGCTAGCCAGGGACCGAGCACAAAATTCCAAGAAAACAAAGGGTGACAATGGATATGGATTATACAGCAGAAACTAGTAGGGGTGGAAGAATTAGTGTAATGAGTTGTTTTTATTCGATTGAGAACGCGATTTATCGGCCTGATCAAAGCTGGTGCATTTAGGATCTGACAAGGCTTTCGAAAAGCCGGGCTTGGTGAAGACAACCAATGTCTTTGGAATTGAAAAAGTAGGTCGGGCTATGAAATTAGGCTTTGGTAATCTCAGTAGTGCTTTCATAAGCAGCTCCAATTGAATCACAGGAATCACCTCTAGCTAGGTGACCTTCCAACTACGCCATCATCCAACTAGATTACCAGAACCACCAGGATTATAAACCAGCAGGATCATAATCCACCAGATCATAATCCACCAGATCATAATCCACCAGATCACAAACCACTAGAATCATAAACCACCAGAATTATAATCACCAGAATCATAAACCACTAGAATCATAAACCACCAGATCACAAACCACTAGAATCATAAACCACCAGATCACAAACCACTAGAATCATAAACCACCAGATCACAACCACCCGAATCATAAACCACCAGATCACAACCACCCGAATCATAAACCACCAGAATCATAAACCACCAGAATCGCCAGAACCGCCCCCGGCTGATTCGCGCCTGTCTCCACCCAGCAGGCCCGTCGCCAACCGTGCCAGCATACCCGCCCCATTCTTTGCGCCCCGCCCCAAATCGCACCAAACGCTCCACCAAACCCCACCATCAAACCCCACCATCCGCGCCAGCTTCTTCGCACCCATCTGCCCCAATTTCTTCGCACCCATCTGCGCCATACTTCAACACTCACCCACGCTCTTTTTGCCCGTCCCCATGACATCCACATACACCAGCAAAGACGTGGCGGACATCCCACTCAAGCGCCCCCAGGAAACTTTCGTCGACGACCCGGGCTCGCTCGACGAGGTCAACATCGACGACTTGGTGTTTCGGTTGGCCCACGACATCAAAGGCATCAACAGTCTCCACAGCTTCCACGCCGTGGCCGTTTTGAAGGCCGTGCTAGAAGATCTCATTTTGTTGGGCGCCCATCGCGACGCCCGCCGCGAGTTCCGCCGCAGCCAGCTCCAGCAGTACTCGCTCGATTTGCAGGAATTGCAAGAGCCACCAGGCGCAGGGCCGCAGGATTGTGGGTCTTTTCCCGACGGGGCCCCCGGGCACAGCCTGCCAGGCCCGGGGCGCCCCGGGTTCTCCGCTGTGGATTTATCGCTTGCCGGAGAACCGGTGATTTCCGAGTCGACTCGGCCCATGAGCCAGGAGGACGCGTCTGTGCAGTCGTTGGTGGCGGCCGACGCCGGGAACGACGACACTGGCGGGTCGGGGACCGCCCTTTTCGAAAGCGCCGGGTCTGATAGTGCTCTTTTAGAAAACGCCGGGTCTGATAGTGCTCTTTTAGAAAGCGCCGGGACTGGAACCGCCGGGACTGAAACCGCCCTAGCTGAAACCGCCCTAGCTGAAACCGCCGGGGCTGAAGCCCAGGCCGGCTTCATCTCCACCGAGTCGCTCGTGCAGACCACGTCGCTCGACCGGGTGCAAGACCCCATCACGTGCCACAGCATCCAGCGCCTCCGCGACGAGGTGCTTTTCCACCTGGCGCCAAAAATCCGCCAGCAGGCTCTCCACTTGCTGCGGTGCTTCGAGCTCGCCCGGCCGCCGCCCATATCCTTGGGGCAGTTCTTGGGCCGCATCCAGACCTACCTGCCGTCCATCTCGGTGTCCGTGTATATCCACAGCGCGTACATGCTCTACAAGCTCTGCGTGCTTTTGGACGTGGTGGAGTTGACGCAGCTCAACGCGTACCGCTTGGTGTTGGGCCTGCTACGGTGCCTGACCAAGAAGTTGGAGGACGTGTACCAGAAACAAAAGAGCTTTGCCACGGTGGGTGGCGTGGCGCTCGACGAGTTGAGCAAGATCGAGGTCAGCTTCCTCTACTTGTCCAACTTCAAGATTATAGTCAGCGAGCACATGCTCAACCAGTTCTTGACGGTGGAGTTCCCGGCCTTGCGGGAGTACTGTGCGGCGCTCCGCAACGAGCACCAGCCAGGGACAGAGTAGCGCTTTTGGTGCGGTCCCAGAACCCCAGTTCGGCGTCCGCAGGTAAGGCCGCCCGCTGCTTCTGTACGATTCATGAGACCCGTGATCAGGCGGAACTCAAATCGCCTCGTCCTGCTGCGGGCGTCCATGGCCAGGGACCATTGTGTTCTGTATCTGCGCCTGGAAAGCAAGCCTGGGTGCTGCCCACGGGTAAGCGGCTCCCTTGGAATTCTTCATGGTACAGCTCTCCTCGCCGCGTGGGTCTCGGCTCTTCAATCTCTGCATCCAAAAGAACCACCAACAGACTCGAATTTGAGCGTTGAGGGGGCTGCTCAGGGGAAGAACCACAGCTGGGGTGGGTGTGAGAATCGTCGACGTGACGTGTCTGTGAGACATGCATCGTTCTCGGGAAAGCATATACAAGCGGGATATGGGAACACTCAAAAGCAAGCCACCCTTATTGTTAACATTCAGGTGGCCATTCTCTGGAAAACCATATGACTGGTACATGTTCAGAATCCAGGTCTTGAGACCGGACAAAGTATTCGCGAGATCTTCATGCTGGCCGGCGAGAAGGGATCATGGAAGAAAGCGATGAAAGCATGATCTGTTCATCTGCTTGGAGACCATATTCCTCAACTCACTTTACAATCTTTAAGGAACAGACCCAAAACGAGCGAACGATAATTAACTGTACGTAATGACTAGGTACAGCAGCAGTGTGAACATGTAAGCTTCAGATACAAGGGGATTTTCGAGTTGCTCTTTTCTCGGTTTGAGTCCCTCTGAGAGTGCCAGTGTAATGTAATCCAGACCGGGCTTAGAGATTGCTCATTGAAAATCATGCTTGTCCACAAGCAAATGTATCTGAAATAGGTACATCTACTCGTCAATCCATCCCACAAATTCTGCCGCATACCTCATATCATTCAAACAAAAATGTTAAAAAGGTCAAACGAACCTGCAAACATTATAACAGGGTCTCAATACAACTTATGTCCAAAAAAATGCGATTTCTGTGGATCGAACACAGGACCTTCAGATCTTCAGTCTGACGCTCTCCCAACTGAGCTAAAGCCGCTAGCAGAACCCATGCCGGGACTCGAACCCGGAATCTTTTGATTAGAAGTCAAATGCGCTAACCATTACGCCACACAGGCTGTTGTGGGAGAAAATAAGCCCTTGTTTTTTCTGAGCATATAAACGAACTACGTCATATTATGTGCAGGCGCACTGTTGCTAGAAATGTTCATTCACAGCGAACATATTTGGAAACAATTTAACACATGTGAGCCCAGGCAGAGACTTGGAGGCATCTACGAAATGAGATTACAGTCCGAGGTATCTAAGAGCTGTTTGAAGTTGTATATATATAGATATATATATATGTATTATGACTAGTTTCGCTCCTTGAATCCAAGTGATCTACAATGAACAAAATGGGGCGTTGTAGGTGGTGAAAATATTTTGGGTTTACTTCTTTAAACCCTGGCTTCTGCCGGTCAAATATGTAGCCCAATTATTGCCCACAAACATCTTGATGGCGCTGTTCTAAAATTTAGCAATAAGCATGCTCAGTCTTCAAGAGAATCAACCAGAGACACACGTACAAAGCTTAGCAGATATTGTTCACTACTTCAAGAGAATAAAGCAGACTCCATGGGGAATCCAGTATCTGACGGGCAAATACGGGCAACTTGTTTCGCGTGATTCTATGAGACCTCACCACTCTCTACAGTGGGTTTATCTTTCCTGGCGTTTCAGAACTATTTCTCCAGCAAGTTTCTAGAGAACCAGAAGAGTATAGGATCTGGGGTGTGCTCTTGCATAAACACCGTTTAAGGCTTTAAGTGAGCTGTTTGAGGTTCTTTTATATATATTATTTATATAGTTTTTGTTCGGGACTTCACGGGACGTAGGGGTTGTGTATTTGATCACTACTTTCTCCAAAACTTCACTGGAGTTCTAACCCACCGTTATAAATTTTGATGAGAGGTCACGTGAGAGTAACCCCTGAAACTCGAGAGAATATTCGATGAGATGTTCAAAGTGATATCTGACGGAACTCACAATGATAGGAGTGCATATAGTCATATATGCGCTGACAGGGACCATTAGTGTCAAGCTCATATCGGGGACCTCGCTTCCTCAATCAGCTGAATCTACCAAAAAAAGACATTGATCTTACAAATTCGGGTATTTGGAGATTCTTTTTTTATTGAAGAGTTATCTGTTTGAAGGAACAAAACTACGCATTTTATAGAAGAATGCAAAAGAAATTACAGGCGAGATATTAATGATTGAAGGCTTTTTATTCATATTATTTTGTTTCTTTTCTCATTTGATCAATTTAAAAAAAAGGAACACGCTTCTGGATGCTCGTCAGTCATATAAAAAGTAAGCCCACGAAAAAGATCTTCCATGTCATATCCCCTGGATTCTGTATACAAATGCCAATCCATACTATCTCGCCGTCATCTTTCAATACGATATCCCGTCTTGGTGCCACTTTACTATTGTCTCTAAAAATACCCAGCTTGGATACCAAATCTCCCACTAAAGACAAAAAGAGAAATTGGCCGCGAAAATACGAGCCTCATCTCCGGCATGGGAACTCCACCATCTCAATATGCTCGAACTCCGCAATCTCGAATATACTCGAACTCCACAATCTGGCATACATTCTCGAGAACATGTGCTGAATTTCTCTAATTTCTAAAGATCAAAGTGTTCAGCCCATCTGCCCCAACGGACTTGGGTGAATGACGCCGGCCATGCGGCTGTGTTGTGCATAGCCGAAAAGCTGATTTCAGTCCCATGGTCAGAATCTCTCTGGTGTGAAAAACCTGTAGATGCGTCTTAGGACCTATTAGGATTTTCAGTATATCGTTCTCACCAAAAGAAAGCTCTTCACCCGCTGGTATTTAGTCAGGAGCATACGGAATTGTCTGGGGCCGGAAATGTTCTTCTGCCTGCATGCAACCGGGCCCTGGCATTCTCTGCATTTCCCCGGACTTTCTGTAGGTACCTCATATTGCCAGGAAGCCCGGTCAGCACCCAATGGCACCAAAATTCCGGACCCACTCACCAGATATATCTGGGCCTCAGAGCCCCGCTTTTCCAGCTGGCCTGGGATCTCACTTCTAGGGGCCACGCCAACTCGGCCCCAGCCGAACAGACGATATTTTTTCGCGATCGCCCGCAGATTTTTTCCCTGGATCCAAGATCTGTTCACCTTCTCCAGAGTGAGATTCTCACCCGGCACGCCAAATCACCCAAAACCGTGACGACACACTCTTCCCGGATACCCCGCTCTCGGTCTTTTTGATTTGCGTCCTAAAAACCCAGGCATTCGGATCCGAGCCCCACATCTCGGAAGTGCCTTTTCCCGACGCATTGCTATCATGTCCTTCACAGCTACTGCCACCCGGGAAGTTGCACCCACGATAAATCTCAGCGACTTTAGCCACCCGCCCACCACACAGATCCACGCCGAGGATGCGGGAGCTGAAACACGCTTGATGCCGCTGGCGCCGCCCGCAAAACCCGGCGCGGCCCAGGCGCAGTTTTCGGATGACGACGACGACGAGTTCAATCTCGACATGGTCACGATGGACATGAACTTCGAACAGGCGTACTCCATGTACACCCAGCTCCAGCAAAAAAACGCGTTGCTGGAGGTCGAGCACCTCCAAAAGGCGCAGCAGCTCAACCACAAGCAAGCGCACGAGCAGATCAGGCTCTTTCTGGACGAAGTGCTACTTTCCCAGCAAGCGCCACGGCCGGCCGGCGCGGATAAACAATGGGCCCGTGCCGCCGAGCTGTATCCTGGTGATTACAGCTCCCAGTGCCACGCCCGCTTCTATCCGGAAACCCTTCTAGACCAAACAGGCGGCCCGTCCAGGAACATGGCCCACACCGTTGAAGCAGTACAGCATGCGGCGTGCCACGCGGCCCTTCCGGACATTTCGGGCGCGCCCTTGATCTCACCTCCTGGCGAGATGGTCGAGGGCTTTGTGGAGATGTTCGCTGGGCAGCAAGCCGAGCAAACGACCGTGGGCGACGGTTTCCCAGCCATGAACGAGGAAGAGGAGGCGGACCAGTTTTTCTCGACCACCGAGTCCAGTGCCTTGGAAAGGTTCCTCGACAACTTAGCCTCATCGTCGGAAATCAACCCGCTTGAGTTCTACCACCCGAACCCGCCAAAGCTCCCGCACATGTTCGAGATGCGAACCATGGGACAGCAGGAGCATTTTGGCGCGCCTGCAAATGCAAAGCCCGAGCCCGCGGCCGGCTTCCAGATGCACCCAAGTCAGGACTTGGGCGGTTTTGGAGGCGGGGCAAAGCCGGCCCAGCAGCTCCAAACCCCAGACACCTCGGTAGGCCAGGTACAGACCAAGCGTGTGCGGGACGCCCCGGACGCGTCTGAGCCGTCCGCCAACAAGAGGAAGTTGGCAAAGCCGCTTCTCAGCTCCACGCAGAAAAGACTCAACCACTCGCACCTGGAGCAGAAGCGCCGCCGGCTCTGCAAAGAGGCCTACGACCGGTGCTTGAGATTGGTCACCAACGTGGATGACTACAAAAACGAGTTGATCCATGTGAGCGCCGACAAAGGCTCGAAAAAGAAGTCCCGGCGCAGACAGCTCACCAAGGACGGCTTGCCCAATTTGTCCAAGCACGCCGCGTTGCAAAAGATTAGCAGCGAGATCTCCAAAATCCAGAGCAAGAACGAGGAGTTGCGCAGACTCATTGGCGGGGCCTGAACACGTACATAGCCAAGCTGTTATTTCTCTGTTGTCCAGAACTTGCATTCCGCGGGTATGTATGGGGCTTCAGCTGCCCCGTGCTTCCGGGAAAAGACGTCCATGTAGCTTCAGTGGCAAAAGTGCAGAATGGAGGCCGCTGGTAAAGCCCCTCGGGACAGGCTTCACAAGAAACAAAGTGTGCAATAAACAAGTTGAGATTAAACAAGGAAAGATCAAACCAGTTGAGATTAAAAAAGGAAAAATCAAACAAGGAAAAATCAAACGAGTAAAGATCAAACAAGTAAATATCAAACAAGGAAAGATCAAACAAGTAGAGATCAAACGAGTAAAGATCAAACGAGTAAAGATTAACAAGCTGAGATCAAAAAGACTAAACAAGCTGAGACGGAATAGAGTTGAGATGGGCAATAAACAAGCTTAGATGAAACCAGCTAAGATAAGCACCCAGCATTTTAGAGCAAAATTAGAAGGGCAACAAACAAGTATAGATGGGCAACAAATAAGTTTAGACTAGACAAACATTATGGGCACCCAACATTTCACAAGTGCAATATAGAAAATTAGAAGGGCACCAAGATTTCAGATGTGCAATAATAAAACTAGAAGGGCACCAAGATTTCAAATGTGCAACAACAAACCTAAAAGGACAAACACTTCTGGATACTCAATACACAAGTTTAGATCATCAATAGAAAAATTGAGATGTGCACCAAACAAGTTGAGATGTGCAAGAAAGAAATTGAGACGCGCATTAAACAAGCTTAGATGAAACAAGTTACATGGGCACCAAATATTTCAGATGTGCAATGATAGAACAAGAAGGGCACCAAACATTTCAAATGTGCAATAAACAGAATAAGAAAGGCCCCCATTATTTCAGAAGTGCAACAAAGAATAAGAAAGGCACCAAACCTTTCACATTTGCAACAACAAAACTAGAAGGGCACCAATATGTCAGATGCGCAATAAAGAAAATAAGAAATGTCCCCAATATTTAGATGCGCCTTAAAGAAAATAAGAAAGGCCCCAATATGTCAGATGCGCAATAAAGAAAATAAGAAAGGCC